ATGTGATCTGATAATCTAAACAGATAATTCGGTGTTTAGATAAAAGAAAAGTGCCCGGTGGTTTGTAGCGAAAGCCAATGGAAAATCTTTGTTGCAAGACAGCCCAGAATACAACATCACATCAAGCTAAGGAATGGAGGTAGAGGCAGTAACTGCAGCTCTCCGGTAGCTAGAGAACAAGATGCATTCACATTTTTTAATTGTAACAGATTATGAGGGCATGCTGAAAAAGGTGAAGACAGGGTGAGCAGAGTGGCAAGCTTTACTGGGAAGGTCACGGGTAGTGAGCATACTTTGGATCATTTTTTCGGCGTAGTGGGTAGTGAACAGCCAGAAAGATTGGCTGGATCTGCGCCACTGGGTGGTGAATTGATACATGACAAGGCAGATGTGGTCAAGGCCCTTTGGAACAAGCAATGAATTCAGTAGAGAAAGAAGATTATTATGGCCTGGAGAGAATGAGGCAACTGGGTGAAACCAGAGGTTCTGACCGGCTCACTACACTCAGAGGAAAGGCAAGACGGACTTTTCACCTGATTGTGACCGGTACCATCAGTATTGGAACTCTGCGCTGGCTGCTGAAGATGAGGACGGAGCACTCATGTTCATGCCCCGAGTACTGTGATGTCAATTCTTGACTCAAGATAAAAAGAAAATCTGATTAAATAAGTCGCAGTCAGTGTTTCACTGGAAGATTAGCAGTTATCTATAGCTGGTGTAAGATCGAGGTAACGACAGCTAGCTGTCCTACAGACGACTTTAAAACCCCAGAGCGGGCTATCAGTGCATCACAGAAGGCAAAGGGAACGGTAGCGGAGAACTTGCAATTCTTAAAATTAAATGTCCCAAAATTACCAAACCTGGGAAAGACAGAGAAGGAGGTACCTGTCGATGTATACAAGCACTGTTCTGATGGGCAAGATATATAATAATTATTAAATTATAAAACAACATCAACATATTTAAAAAAATGATATTAAAAATAACAGTCAGAGAATCAGAGTCACCATAGACTGCCAAAGTGTGCAAGCCAGTCGCTTGAAAACGAATTTAACAATGCTGTTGTCTACTAAATTATTGCAGGCATTAATCCAACCTCACCAACCGTAGTCCAAACAGTCAATAAATGTAGAAAATCTGTTGGTGACTTACTTGAAACAGTTGTCTAGCTGCAGAAAGTCTACATCAAGTCCATGAAATATCTCCTGTGCATGTTTGTCACTGTGTCATTACCTTGTCAGCCACCCGTCGGCGCTGAAGTGGGTCAATCAACCCCGGTGTGTCAGGGACCCCGGCCTGTGTCAGGTCGTGGGGTCCTGGTGTCCGTGGACTGGTGTCGCTGTGTGTGCGTGTGTGACGTCTGCTACTGACAAAGCAGTGACATCAAGGGACGCTAGCCGTATAGGCAGGAAGGATTTTTGTTTTAGGTTATTTCCCCTACTTTATGTTCTTCTACTTCTCCTTCTCTTCCACTTTGTACCTCATCATATTTATGCTTTCTTATCCTTACGTCCTTTTTAGGACGTAATTTTTTTGTTATTTAAAGCCCCACTCTGGCTTTTGCCAGGGGCCGCAATATAGGCAGGCCATAAATATGGCCAATTGTCTGAACGCGGTTTCTGGGACCTCTCCACGGTGATCCTCATCAACATGGTGGCACTTTGTGTCATCGGGTGTTTATCGCTTGTGTGATGTCCTGGTGGGGTAGAAATTCATTCATTTGTACTTCATCGAAGTGTCGGGGGGAGATGTAATGTTCGTTGATAGGCTCTGCCAAGAGACCCTCTGGAAAATTAGAAACAGTTTTGCTTGGCAGCTTGATCTTCATCACCTGCACTTGAAGTTTTTAAGAACTCCAGCACGTTGTTTTCTGGTTGACAGCCATGCAACAGACCAGGGGACCTTAACCCGTCATATTTTCCCCTCCGCCGCCTCTAGGCAGAAAATATACAGGAAAAAAAGGAGGGGGGGGGGGAGGAACTGGGTGCGCTCAGGTTCCCCTAAAAATAGTGTTTAGGGCAAAAAAAGGGGGGGGGGGGGGTGAAGAAGGGTCAGAACTGCTGAGGCCTTCAATACAATTGTAACTAGTCTAAGAGATTTAAAAAGTATTTATTTGTACGAGGCGCGTTGTTTAAGTAAGTTCCGTTTTCACGGCAGCGACAAACACCAAATAGAAAACTTAAATGTGCATATACAGTATGTTAATGTGGTTCATTAGCTAGCTGTGTGCTATGTTTTCACCGTATAAATCTAGTTTGATACTGTGCGTGGGTGATTAAATCTGGTTTGAAACTGTGCGTGGGTGATTAAATCTGGTTTGAAACTGTGCGTGAGTGATTAAATCTAGTTTGATACTGTGCGTAAGTGATTAAATCTAGTTTGAAACTGTGCGTGGGTGATTAAATCTGGTTTGAAACTGTGCGTGAGTGATTAAATCTGGTTTGTTACTGTGCGTGGGTGATTAAATCTGGTTTGTTACTGTGCGTGAGTGATTAAATCTAGTTTGAAACTGTGCGTGAGTGATTAAAACTAGTTTGATACTGTGCGTGAGTGATTAAATCTAGTTTGAAACTGTGCGTGGGTGATTAAATCTGGTTTGAAACTGTGCATGGGTGATTAAATCTGGTTTGTTACTGTGCGTGGGTGATTTATAAAGTGTGCAAAAATAAATACTCTCGCCAGCTGCAATGTTCGTGCTGTGATCATTGAGGTTGATGGGCCAGATGTTATAACTGATAGTTCAGTCAACTCATTGAGGTTGATGGGCCAGATGTTATAACTGATAGTTCAGGCAACTCATTGAGGTTGATGGGCCAGATGTTATAACTAATAGTTCAGTCAACTCATTGAGGTTGATGGGCCAGATGTTATAACTAATAGTTCAGTCAACTCATTGAGGTTGATGGGCCAGATGTTATAACTAATAGTTCAGTCAACTCATTGAGGTTGATGGGCCAGATGTTATAACTGATAGTTTAGTCAACTCATTGAGGTTGATGGGCCAGATGCTATAACTGATAGTTCAGGCAACTCATTGAGGTTGATGGGCCAGATGCTATAACTGATAGTTCAGTCAACTCATTGAGGTTGATGGGCGAGATGTTATAACTGATAGTTCAGGCAACTCATTGAGGTTGATGGGCCAGATGCTATAACTGATAGTTCAGTCAACTCATTGAGGTTGATGGGCGAGATGTTATAACTGATAGTTCAGGCAACTCATTGAGGTTGATGGGCCAGATGCTATAACTGATAGTTCAGTCAACTCATTGAGGTTGATGGGCCAGATGTTATAACTGATAGTTCAGGCAACTCATTGAGGTTGATGGGCCAGATGCTATAACTGATAGTTCAGTCAACTCATTGAGGTTGATGGGCGAGATGTTATAACTGATAGTTCAGGCAACTCATTGAGGTTGATGGGCCAGATAGGCCAGATGTTATAACTGATAGTTCAGGCAACTCATTGAGGTTGATGGGCCAGATGCTATAACTGATAGTTCAGTCAACTCATTGAGGTTGATGGGCCAGATGCTATAACTGATAGTTCAGGCAACTCATTGAGGTTGATGGGCCAGATGCTATAACTGATAGTTCAGGCAACTCATTGAGGTTGATGGGCCAGATGCTATAACTGATAGTTCAGGCAACTCATTGAGGTTGATGGGCCAGATGTTATAACTGATAGTTCAGGCAACTCATTGAGGTTGATGGGCCAGATAGGCCAGATGTTATAACTGATAGTTCAGGCAACTCATTGAGGTTGATGGGCCAGATGGGCCAGATGTTATAACTGATAGTTCAGTCAACTCATTGAGGTTGATGGGCGAGATGTTATAACTGATAGTTCAGGCAACTCATTGAGGTTGATGGGCCAGATGCTATAACTGATAGCATGGTTAGGAAATGGTGTTAAAAGGAGGGCGATCCTAAAATCATGCCTTTACTCTGTTTTTCCTAATTACACTCCAGATAGTTATTTTTTTTCCAATGGGCTAAAGTTACCTGTATGTTCTTATTGTTAATTGTTAAAATCCAAACCTGACAACATCAGATGGAAGATGTATTAAGGAATTTATATGTCGAATAGCTGGAGCAAAGGCAACATTTTGAGAAATAAAGAATATTTTATGCAATCTTTCTTTGAGACAAGAAAGAAAATTCTTAAAAGCTATATAAATCCTATACTGACATACAGAAGTGAAATATGGACAGTTGGTAAATTAGTGAAAACTTATTTGGAAGCTGCGGAGATATGGTTTTATAGACGAATTATGAGAATACACTGGACAGATTAAATAAAAACAGTAATCCTGATGTCTTGAAAGAAACTGACTCTACTGCCCTAATCAGAAAGAAACAGCCAACATTCTTTGGTCATGTGATGAGAAACAGAAAACTGAAGTACATTGTGACAGTAGGAAAGTTAGAGAGAAGGAGAGGCAGAGGGAGACCGAGAAAACAGATGCTGGACAGTTTGACATCATGGCGTAGAGTATAGAGGATCTGAGTTGGAGTTGATTGAAAGTACACGAGACAGAAGTTTGTGAATAGACTTTAAGAAGAAGAAAATCCAAACATATTACTCAAGGAATACGTAAATCAAGTAGAGTTTTAAAAAAAAAGTGTTTATTGTTTGAAACATATTTTTTACAAATCTCTTTTGAAACAAAAGCAAAATCAATAAAATGATGTGAAGAAAATGATGATGGTTCGTACCGTTTCTCACTAACATTTAACAGGAAATAGAGACAGGGGGAGGTAGAGAGGACCGGGGGTTTGGAGGAAAGCTGGGGCTGTTGGGTCTGTCAGCGGATACGGTTCATTTCGATGGTAATGTTTTGAACATGTTGTAAATTATTTATACAACAGAGGGAGGGAAAGAAAGAATGATTTTTTTTTAATGTATATTTCACGAGCATTTATTTTTAAAATGCGCATGAGGCACTGTCTATGTCTGTTACCGTCAGTCTATGTACGTAACTCTCACACTCCAGTGTTTAGATCATCTGTTTCACCAAGGCATCAAATGCAGTGCCTCTGTCACCAAATGAACCTCCATCCTTGAAGTGCCTGTTCTTCCGCCGCCAGCCACACAGGGGAGGAGACAGCTTAAATGGCATCAGGAAATTGGTAGCGTACTTGAAGTTGGGACCAAGTGTCATGATCTCATGGATGAGATCTTCCATACAAATGATATCTTTGTCTCCTAATTCCTTTTCTATAACAGAATTGTCAGTCAATAGAACCTTCTTGCGGTCAACTTTGCCATTGCCTCGTTTGTAAATTACTTCTCTGACTGTCTTTAGACTGGGCACCCCCCATGTGAGATATGGCTCTGCAATTTTCAGCATGCTGAGTGTGGCTTTATTTAATTTCAAGAAGATTCCAGTGTTGATCTGACGCAACTTGAAGAGCTGGAGAACTTTGCGTGGTCGCTGATGAATGCCAATGACACCTCTGATTCTGATGACAAAGACCAACCCTGACTCAGCAGGAACATTTACATTCACGTTCCTTTTAGCCAACCGGGCAAGTCAAGTCTGATGGCATCTCGCTCTTTAGCTGTGTACTCTTTCACAAATTTCTCGGCTCGCTTGAAAAAAGTCCTTTTCTTTGCTGCTGCTTGTTTCTTTCTGTTTGCTGTATCAGCTTTAACAGCTTTTGAAAGAGAGAAAGACGAAAGAGAAAAAAGGAGGACGAAAACTTAGGCCGACTGACTGACTCTCTACCCCACCAGTACATCACACAAGCGATAAACACCCGATGACACAAAGTGCCACCATGCGGATGAGGATCACCGTGGAGAGGTCCCAGAAACCGCGTTCAGACAATTGGCCATTTTAATGGCCTGCCTATATTGCGGCCCCTGGCAAAAGCCAGAGTGGGGCTTCAAATAACAAAAAATTACGTCCTAAAAATGACGTAAGTAAAATTACGAAAACTTAGGCCTGACTGACTGACTTTCTACTCCACCAGGACATCACACAAGCGATAAACACCCAATGACACAAAGTGCCACCATGCGGATGAGGATCGCAGTGGAGAGGTCTCAGAAACCGCGTTCAGCCAGTTGGCCATATTTACGGCCTGCCTATATTGCGGCCCCCGGCAAAAGCCAGGGTGGAGCTTCAAATAAAAAATTTCATCCTGAAAAGGACAATAGGGATAATATTGCACATAAATCTTAAGCTTGGCTTGGCTTTTTACCCCACCAGGACATCACACAAGCGATAAACACCCGATGACACAAAGTGCCACCATGCGGATGAGGATCACCGTGGAGAGGTCCCAGAAACCGCGTTCAGACATTTGGCCATAATGATGACCTGCCTATATTGCGGCCCCTGGCAAAAGCCAGAGTGGGGCTTCAAATAACAAAAATAACGTCCTAAGAAGGACGTAAGGAATGAGTCTTAAGCGGACAAGGGAAACAAAGGAGGAAATAGAAAGGGCCACTCATGTTGGTGTACATTTTTTGCATACATGAAATTTAAAAATCAAACAAAAAGTGAAACAAGTACCAATCTTCCAGTCTCTTTTGGAACCCTCCTAGGACACCGCACAAGCGATAAACACCCGATGACATCGAGGTGCCACCATATGGGTAAGGATCGCCGTGGAGTGGTCCCAGAAACCGCGTTTCGCCCTAAGCCATTAAGACCAGGCTACTCTGCGGCCTCAGGCTCGAGAGCCAGAGTAGGGCTCCAAATGGGAGATAAACCCGCAACCCCTCACAATCAACAATTTGAGTGGCATGTTAAAACATTTCATTAAGGAGAAAGAACATTGCATCAATTTATTTACATGGGTGGATAACACAAAGGGAACTTTACGGACATATAAACTAACATCAGAGAAAGGAGAAGGACACGACCACGTAAGCGGACAGGGGCGGGGGAGAAAAGGTTGTAACACTTCATGCAAAAGTAATTAAAATAACAGACCAATTTTATTATTTAGAAAGAAAGAAATTATGACACGCATTGGCAAGGATTAAGCCGCTTTTAAAAGTTTGAACAAAATATGGAACTCTAAATTGTATTGTTTTAAAACCAAGTTACGTTTTTTAAGTAAATCCATTTGACGCCACCAGGACATCATACAGAGCGATAAACATCACGTGACACAAAGTGCCACAGGCGGATGAGGATCACCCGTGGGGAGGTTTCGTTAACCTTGCTGGGCTGTAAGGCCATATACCGGCTATATTTAGCGCCCCTGGCAAAAGCCAGGGACTGCTTCAAAATTACTAAAAATTGCATCCCACATAGGGACGATAGATTGTTTAATCAAATTACGTGTTTTCATTTCTAATGTTGTTTACCTTCAACATAGGCAAGTAAAAGTTGGAGAACCAGATGGAACGAAAGTTAAAAGCATTCAAAAACAAATGTATAACGAAAATGATGAAAACAAAATGAGATGAATTCAAAAGGACTGAAGAAATAAGAGAAATATATGGGCAGTTATTCGTATCAAAAGTAATACGACAGAGAAGATGGCACCACATTGGACACATCCTGGGGAGAAACCAACAGAGAATAACCAGACAGGCAGGGAAACGGGAAATAAACGGGTTAAAGAGCGAGGACGCCCAGGAGAAAGATAAGACGAACGTTGATGAGAGAGGCCAAAGCTACTGGACTGAATTTCATCGATGATATTTGGAGGTGACAGGTTCAGTTCCCGGCACGGTAACTATAGCTTTCGATTTTTATTTTGCCAAGTGAGTTTTTCTATCTTTCTACTTCTTTATATAAGTGCCCATCAATACACTTTCTGTTACTTGATTAACTCATAATATTTAACGGCCTCAAAGGTTCCCTCTCTATTTATTTATAGGAATGACGTAAACACACCGGAACCTACCAATCAAATACCTTTCTTAAATGTTTGTGTATTTTAGACAAAGCATTAGGATCTACTGTGTTCGTAAATTGTTGCTGTGATTGTTTTTCGACATATGCTTCGTTAATATAAATTTCTGTAACCTATGGTGCCATTTCAATAGTTTGAAATGAATTCTGTCCGTATTCCATAGTTGTGGATTTCAAGCTGTACGATAGACATGGCAAAAAAGACACCTTTTGAAAGAAGGGGGGGGGGGGGTGCCTAGTTGACCATGTTTTTAGTTCGCTTGTTTCCATAGCGAGGCTCAAACGCCGTCTGGAGGTGACAAGTTTAATTCCTGGCATGGTAACTATAGCTTTCGATTTTTATGTTGTTTAGTATGATCTTCTATCTTTCTACTTCTTTCTATGAGTGCCGATCAATACACTTTCTGTTACTTGATTAATTGCACAGGGTAGAACGGAATAGAGAAATAGACTGCGAGCCCTATGCGACATATTACGACTCACAGGACAATGAATGCATGAATGAATGAATGAATGAATGAATGAATGAATGAATGAATGAATGAATGAATGAATGAATGAATGAATTCAATTCTTTTGACTTGAAAATTACAATTACATCTGCCTTTCCCCTTTTTCTTTGTCCTTTGTCTGTGTGCTGCTGAATCTTTGGTTTTGATTTAAAATGAAGTAAAAGATTGCTGTTTTTCTTTTCTTTGAGGCTGAAGGACGAGAAAAGAATTAACATTCATGCTAAGGAAGTAGGGTGGAGTTTATAAAAGCTTTTGATGAGGTGAAACAAAGGAAATCCACGTGGCGCCATGATGGCCGATAACGGGCTCTTTGAGTGAACGCAGACGATGAGCTGTGAAAACGAACGTTTGTGTATCGAGAGTTCTGTGTTGTTTTAGCGTGTCTTCCAGTGCACACCAGAACTGGCTGCTACAGCAAATTACATCTGAGTATATGTGCACAGTGTTCCATCCATGTTGCCTATAGAGCTACATAACTTTTTGATCACATCATCTGTGGGGTCGACACAGCGATACATAATGAGTTCTATAGTTCTGGCAGAAGTAAAGGCGGCCGGTGCAGTCAGAAATATAATGTGGAACTCTGAGCTTCACCCCCCCCCCCCCATCCCCTCCCACTTTTCCACGAAAAAAAAAAGCTATGCCGCGCTTCCCTGTTGCCGGTCGTGCCGTGCTATGATACAGAGAACAGGCTGCAGCAGGCGGCACCGTAATTGGGGCGGCATAAGCAGCGAAATCAAAACAGTTTGAACTTTTGATCTGATAACGCGAAGCTATTACGGGTGGTATTTCGCACTTACATCATAGTGATAAAATCTAGCGCACGAGACGGTATAGGTTTCTATGTAGAACTTTTTGTTTACTCAGATGTTATTTCAAATAAATTATTTCATTTATTTTCCATTCAACTCGTTTTTATTATACACGTGCGCGCGTGTGTTAGTGTGTGTGTGTGTGTGTGTGTGTGAGAGAGAGAGTTTGTGTGTGTGTGAGTGTGTGTGAGTGTTTTTGTGTGTTTGTGTGTGTGTGTGTTTGGGTGTGTGTTTGTGAAATGATACCTACACTTATCTTTGCTTCAGTCTCGAGAGCGCCTTGCCAAGCGTACTCACATGGTGTGAGATCTGGCGAATGAGCACCTGCGGCTGAGCTTTATCGTAAGATATGCGTACGATGTGTTACCGTCTGGCGTCAACAGGGTGAAATGGCATGCGGCTATAAACCCGACAGGCCCACTGTGCAGAGCTAAGCAGACGCTCGAATATGTATTGTCCGCGTACAGAAAAGCCCTAGGCCAGGGACGATATACATGGTGCCTCAATAAAGTACTGAAAGGGAGAGCGGATATTGTGGACCAAGCCAGGTTGAGGGCCAACACGAGAGCCAATCCTACCGTCGCCTCCATGCTCGTCCTCAAGGCTGATCAGATTTATAAAGGTAAAATACACTGCTTCAAAACTTGATTGTGCGAAGGACTGGTTACTGGCTGTCTAATTGCCTCGTTTCGAAAAGTACCCATAATCTGAAAGACCGGCCTGAGAAAAGACATTGTCTGTTTGCCGTACGAACCGCGGGTGGAGGAGAGTCACTTGTACAAGATTGAAAAGTATGATGACCTGGTGGCAGGTCTGAGGAGAGACGAAGCGTACTCAGTTAAAATCTTCCGCCGAGGTAGGCGCAAGAGGTCTTATCTTCACTTCCACTTACAATGGGCTAAAGCAGCAAGGCTTGCGATGTAACGAACGTAAACGGTCTCTGAAATAACTGGGCGAAGCTGCTGAAAGAGCGTCGAGCTGGCTCTGGACGCAATGGAACGTCGTGGGGAACGGGACTCGGTAGACTGGCCTGAGCCTCTAGTGTAGAGGAACTTTTCGTCTCTAAAGAGCTAAAGTGCCCGAAACATGTCTGCCACTGTCTCTCTGCTATTTGCCAAAGTATAACATCTGTCCGTTGAACCAACAGTAAACTTGTCACCCTGTTCGTGAATTAAGGCGGACAATTGTTACGGCAGCGACACATACATATAATACGAAATCACACATTACCTGTTGCATAGTAACCTTTTCGTCTTGTCCCTGTCCGATTAGAGGAGAACCGGGGTCTGTTGTCATGAACCAGGGACCATCCTACTGATGGTCGCTAGCTGCTCCTGCTGCGATTGCTCCCTTGTGGAGCTTTTCTTATCTTATCGTCAGCGGGTCCGCTAAACATTTCTCTCATTTTCCCGCAGGTGTAAACACACAGAAGAACACTGCCGCACGCCCAGCTTTATCTCCTGCCATATTTTCCAATCTAAGAAAAGAAAAAAAAAGTGGGG